AACAAAAGATCCAACCAAACATGATGCAAACAGGTCGGTTTCATCACTCTTGAGAAAGACAGCCTGACAGAACTGAGTCCTGTCCCTGGGCAGCCTTCCTACTGTGTGTCAGGTGACCACTGAGGTCAATGTGCCTGGTATTCCTGAGCTGACTCTGGTGTGAACCTCTGAGAGGAACTTGAGACATCGGCCTCCTGAGGGGAGGAAAATGCACACTTTCCCAGGCAATCCTCTTCACGTGTTTCGATGTGTTTTTATTTAGTTTTTTTTCATCCAGTGTATTTTAACCATGTTTTTTCCCCCTTCCTCCAACTCCTACCAGACCCTCCTGGATGCTGACCCATCCAATTTCATGTTCTTTCTCTCCTTTTCTCTCCCAAACCGGAGACTAAGAGGGGAAAATATTAAAAATAATAGATAGGAGCATTTTTAAAATACTACCATGTATCCTACGGCTAGTTAGGGAATCTGCTTTTTCTCTTCTTGCACGGACAGGCTTGTGGGACAGCCAGACAGCCATCAGGTGGGACAGCGATCCAGGCAGCTGTGGACTGACAATGAGAACAGACGAAATGGCTCTTTCCCTCAGAGGTGAAACTCAAGCCTGAGAGGTGGTGGCTGGACTGTGCACTGGGTCATTGCATTGCCTTGTCAGTGCAGCCTGGCTTGGCCTTTCAGGTAAACTCCACCTGTTCTGCCCTCTCAGTGCCCAGCACTGTACTCTGGGGCTCTGGCTTACTCCCCCCACCTCTCAGGGGTCACTGCCAAGTTTACCCCAGGGATCAGGCTGAGCCAGCTTCATGGCTGCAGCTGGCTGTCTCACGGAGTGCCCTGGACTTCCCACGCAGCCTTTTGAAAGACATCTGCTCCTGCTGTGGCTTCTGCTTGACCTCCCGAGGGTGAGAGGGCCTTCCTCTGGTCCACACACGTCTCGCACATAGCTTCTGAGACAGCAACCAGTGGCCATCACACTGAGGGCCCACATGCCAGGAGGTGAGAGACCAGAAGACTCCACCCCTAGAGTTGGCTCGGGTACCCAGTGAGTCACTAGCCCTGATCTGTGACCATGGTGTCCCAGGGGAGAGTAGGAGGCCTAGAAAAGAAGCAAGGACACCAACCACACTGACTCACAGTTGAATCCCATGGGATTCAAGTCCCTGGGATGACACCAGTCCTTGGCTGAGCTTATCCCTGCACTAACGATGCCTGTTCCAGCTCCCAGCTTTCCCCTCTCAACTCCCAGCCATCTGAGTGACAGCTTCACCCTTGAACCACACACACATGATGGATGGAGCCAAGGAAAGGGCATGTCCTCCCAGGGTGTCAGATTTTTCATCAGTTACAGCAGTTCTTTCTCCTGCTAACACCACACAGGAGCCTTGGGGGCTAAGAGGCAGTGATGTCACAGCTCTTTGAAAGGAAGTAGGCAGAGCCAGCACTCTAATCCTGTGAGATTACTGAGGTAGCAGGGACAGGCTCTGGGTGGGGAGGTGTCCTCAGGAGTTGCCCAGAAACACACCTGGCCTTGGCCTTGGCAGGAACACACAGGCAAAGATTCCTCTTTCCCTCTCCAGGCATTTTCAACAGAGCACCTGTGTTTCTAAGGCTTCACTAGGATCAGTAGCTAGTTCTTCCACTACACACACACACACACACACACACACACACACACACACACACACAC